ATYATTCAAMCAAAGATGATTTTTTTGTTATATTCCAGTTAAATCCATCWGATCGCTATCACCTAATGCCAATCATTACACCAGCTTACCCACAACAAAATTCTACATTTAACGTCTCACTGTCAACAAGGGAAGTAATGCAAGATGAGTTCTATATAGGTATGTTAACATGTCCTCAAATTCCCTAGCTATATGTTTATTGATAACACATATTTCTATGCTTCGTTGTGCAGGTCTTAAAAACACTGAAGATGTCCATAACAGCAAGGCCACATGGGATATTCTGTTTGCACCTACTAATTTCTTCTTGAAATACAAGTAAGTTATTCATATTCAAATACAAAAACATTAGATGTATGGTGCCATGTTTTCATTCACAAAGATAGTATAGTTGCTTAGTATAGTTTTGACTGTAGTGTCAGTTTAGTGATAATTGTCTACTAAGCAATAATTCATTAAAAATTGTTACCTTTCAGACATTATATTGTTCTGAGTGCATTTGCTGCAAATGAAGAAAACCATTTAGAATGGATTGGTTTAGTTGARTCAAAAGTTAGAACTCTTGTGTTGAGTTTAGAAAATAATGTATTCATCAAACGTGCTCATGTGAATGCTGCTAGTTATGGTCCGACAGATTCAGAAAAGTAAGTACTGTATGTTTATGTTCCCCAAATATTCACAATTTCAAGAATAAAGATAAAACATCTGTTTTATTTGGAAAATTCATTCATTCCAAAAGGCAAACAAAAGCATTTGTTTTGATGTACAAAGTATCCCTTTCCTGTAACAAATCACAATAATGTTCACTTCATATAATGATACGATAGTGGTAAATCTTGAATTAGATTTCCAGGAATTGTCCAGTCTCTGTGTATACTATATGTTTTTTTTTCTTTATGTAGAGATACATTTGTTACAAGATGGTTTATTGGTCTGTTGTTTAATAAAGTTGGTAAGTTACATTAGTATTTTATGTCCATAGCAGTTCACTATTATTACTATACAACCTTTGACCAATTCTTTTGTCTTCAGAAAATGTCAATATTAATTTGACAAATGAAATACAGATGTTTACAAATACAGGTAAGAGTTATCCATCCATCATTGTGTAAAATATTAGAAGTGAGTTAATTATCAATATAATTCTTTATCATGCATTAGTTCATAATCAAGCAGTGAATACCAAGATGTTGAAGGATGGTATGAAAATAGAAGCAAAGCATCTTAGGAGGTAGGGTAAACACATTAAGATTATTATTATTACATATTTACCTCTCTCTCAATTTGTGTATTAATTGTTGTTTTACAGGAGAGAATTAAACAAGTTCTTACCTCCCGGTGTATTCAAAATGAAGAAAAAAAGTGGAGTGGTGAGATTATACTATTATGCAACCCAAAATTTTATCCATTCATTTCATTTATGAATTGTTTTGTTTAGGGTGGAGACAAAGCTAATACTTCTAAGAGTGACCAAAGCTTTAATGAGAGTACTGACAGCATTACAGAAGTGAAAGAGGAGCAGCCTGAAAATAARGAGAAAGGTAAACTTGATGAGGAACACATTCATAGACCTTCTTAAGTAATGATAAAGTTTGAAATCACATGAAATGTTAATAAGCAGATTCAAAAGATTGTAGTAATTCACATTGAAGTGTTTATATATAGTTAACTTAAAGTATAAAACACGAGAGAGAGTGTTTTAAACGGCTTAAAAAACTCCAACACTAATTTGAAACTCAAATCCGTTAAAATTCTTGGAGAAATTGCCGTAHAAATATGTTCAGAGATAAATGGGGCAAACTGATCATGCGCAAATCACTTTACAAAGCACTCTTGTCATCCCACATTGAATACGCATAAAGTAAAATAGAAGCGCTCTTGGCTGTTCACTGAAATCCTATATTGGTCAGTGATCAAGTTTCAAACCTGAGACCTTTGCTAGGGTCATGGACCTTTATATCTGATAAAGGTCACCCTTATTAGTATTCTTTATATAAAGAATACTAATAAGGAGTGTTTTATCAGATATAAAGGTCCATGCATGTGACCAAATAGGCTCATTCTATTGGCCTAGTAGCTCATTAATTATGTATGAGTTTTTAAGGTTTAATGGACATTCCTTTTCAATTTCAAGGTGATAAAGATACAGCCGAGGAGAAGCCAGCAACACCCACTAACAGTGCAACTACACCTACTACGCCACAGTCACCATCYAGTATTGAGACTAAAGGCGAAGTGACATCATCAACACCTACCATGACAACAASTCCAACTCCAAACCAAGCACTGTCCAATGACTCATCACCCAATACTGGTAGTAATGAAACACAAGATGGACTTCGACAGGCTGTAAAAAGACCAAGTTCACCATTGGATGAAGGGGCTCAAGCTAAGAGAATGAGAATACTAAGCACCAATCAGGTTGAAGAAAAGACGGCACCAAAGGTGAATGCAGATTATTTAATATCACATAACTGTGTTGTAATGGAGTGGTTTTCATTAAGCTGTGTAATAAATTTCAATGACCTAAGCTTTATCCCTCTTTGTTTTACTGTTTTTTTTTTGTGTGTTTTTGGTGTTTTCTCAAACATTGACTACCACGCTTTGTTACACTTGATTTCAATTCTTTGTCAATATATGATTAATAATTTAAAGAGTTAGTTAAAAAGTATGAATCATGTCTAATGTTTTTTTTTTGTTTCTTTAAGGAAAACAATGCTGATGGTACTGACTCAAAAGACAAGGACAACTCAATAGAACAGAATGACATAGAGGTACAGCGCAATGCATTCATCATAATCATCATATTATAATCATTGTATTATAATCATCATATTATAATCATATTGTGTCTCGTATAGGTGAATACAGAATCTGAACCCATTGCTAGAGGAGTCAAAAGACGAAGCTCTCCCATTGATCCAACCATAGTGAAGCAATTTAGAGACAGTAATCAGGAGGTTTGTGAAAAGTGCACACAAATTTTATATACGTATTTACTACTCATAGCTTTACAGTCATTGCCAAAATATCCTGTTTCTTTAAATACTTTACACTAAAATGTACACTATATTTGATTCAGAAGCGGGGCAAAAATTAAAGCTGCTCAACTGGCAATGTCTGATCAAATGATCATACGATTGACAGTGAACTGAACTGACAGTGTTTCAGTAAAACCTGATGACTGGTCAAACCTATCTTCACTAGACATCACATCACATCCACCCACTGATCTGCCCTTAAACTGCATTAAAYCTAATTTTGCTACTATTAAGCCTKGCTTTTTTTCTTCAGGATGAAGAGAAAGAGCTCTATGACACAATGGAGCAGCTTCAGCCTTCGCAGATGAAAGTTCCAGTAAAAAACTCTATAAAACTCAAACTGAAATAACTACATATTCATACACTACCAGTGTTCCATCCTTGACATCAAAGTGTACATTTGTACTTTCATTTGACTCTTGTTTATACAGATTGCATCAGTACAAATCACATGCGTGCAATAAGGTCCTTGTTAGTAGTGAGAGATCTATATACTATATAAAGTGCCTTATTGATATAGCATTTTTGGTGTGGAGAAAGTAGGAGACATAACAATGTATTCATTCAAAAATCATACAGAGATCCAACAGGACAAACCACCTGACCCTGCTGTACTTAGGGTGAGTAATGCTATCCACTGGAAAGATCTCTGTCCTGTAGATAACAGCTATGTTATATGTACGCAGTGGATAATCTTGGATAGCTAAATCTCCCTTTGCACACCAGACCGTGGCAGAAGCAATTCATGACTGTCAGGACATGTAGATTTTTGTCGCTCTACATTTATTTTAATAAATTATTTTACAAACATTATGACTTAACTATTGGAGCTTAAAATATAGTTACATGGATATGCACTTGCAGTTCATCAGAAAATCTGAAAAATGCATGCAACCTGTTTGTGGCTGTATATTTTTGTTTGAAAAGTTTGTGCCTTAAAAAAATAACAAAAATTTGACCCCTTTTTCTTAGATATAAAGCTGAAGAGAGTTATATAACTATATCTAAAAACATACAAACTTTTTCGTTTTCGTTTGTAAGACATTGTTAATGAAATAAATGTTTTATAAAAATAAGAATTTGTGTAGTGTTTGGTCTGTKTKGCTGGGTTTCCTGTGTTGCATGGTAACGAGGCTCGGCGGGAGAAGCGTTCTTGACAACCCAAGATGGATAACGCAGACTTGGAAAAACTTGGTATTTCACCTGGGAAATTAACCCCTAAATTCAACCCAAATATCACTGAATATACAGTTACGTTAGCTAGCGATGTAGGCAAACTCAAAGTCGACCCATTGACAAGTGACTGTGGCGCTAGCTACACAATTTCGGTGAGCAAAAAAAGTTTGTTTTCAATACTTGTTCAAAAGTTGAATGCTCATTTTGCATGCTTTAGGGGGGAGGTGGTGGCAAAACTGTTGACCTAAAAGAAGGACAAGTCACTTCAATCAAGGTCGAAGTATGTGCTGAAGATGGTAGTACTATAAAGAACTACTTCATACATGCGACAAGGCTTTCAGCAAGCGATGCATCACTCACTGATATCAAGTACTCCACCGGCGAGATAAACCCTCAGTTTGCTGCAAATATTCAAAACTATTCTCTTTCTGTACCTTTCTCCTTATCCTCAATTGAAATAACACCACTTGCAGCTGATAAGAAAACTTCTCTCAAGTTAAATGGTATTGAGAATTTGAAGGAAGAAGTTCAGTTGAATTTTGGTGAGACAAAAGTTGAGATAGAAGTTACTTCCCCAGATAAAACAAATTCTAAAATTTACACTCTTATAATTTGCAAAGAGCAGCTTCTGAGGCCAGTGAGTTTTGTAGATCAAAAGGTCAAAACTAAGAATGAATGYCCAGTATGCTTGGGTGTTTTGTATAGACCAAAATCAATAGCTGACAGTAAGTCTGGACATCTGTTCTGCAAATCATGTATTGACGAACTGACTCGCACCTCTAAAATGGACCCTCTGGATGACACGCCTTTGACGGGAGAATGGAGGGCTGATGAGTTTGAACATGAAAAACAACAGTCTTTAGCAGAGGTGCAGTGTGTCTTTGCTCACTGGGGTTGTAGTGAGAGATTCAAGTTGTGTGACCTTGGAAGTCATGCAATAAAGTGTGACTACCAACCRGTAATGATAGAGAAATCTTCAGAAATGGTTCCAGCCAAAGAGAGAGAGACAAAAGCTAAAGAYTGTTGCTCCCCTTGTCCTGACTGCACWAGGCCAGTGCGACCTAGTGACCTAGAAGCACATAAAAYGTACATGTGTACTAGTAAGGTTACGAGTACTGCTGTCAAGCATAAAGTAGAGGTTAGAGCTTGGGAAAAGAAGCTACACCAAGAAACTGGTGAAAAATCTGCTGATAAATTGGTTGTCACAGCTGAAAAGTTTGAGAAAGACTATTTSAACAACCTTCCRARACATGGTAAGTATAGTGGCTTGATTGACAGTTTGATAACTGCTTTAGTTTGAATCTATTGTCAATTTGAGCTAAGAAGAATAACCATTGAAGTATTTAGTATGTGAATTGAGGAGTTTGAAAGACATTATAATTCGTTGTTAATTCAGCTTCCTATTACCTAAGGCAATGCAGGTCATTATAGTGGTGAAGTTTCACCACTACAGTTATTGGAAAATGCTGCCGAGTGGTATGCCACAGCAATCAAGCTCTCTCCAAAAAATGCAAAATYGCATTTTGGACTTGCTCAGGTTCTTGAGGAACAGCACCTTGCACAAGACCTTTATGGCCTCAAACCCCAGGTATTATTAATTTATAGTAATCMATTGAAACATGATCAACTGCAGAATCTCTTCTTCATTCGTGTTTTCCTTTTACTTTCTAATAGAAAAGTTCAGATATAGAAATTGACTTCAATGTCAAGTCAAAGGACAGTTCCAAAGAAGATGATATTCAAGCTCTTTGTGAAATGCGTGGTGTTGGTCGCAATGCTCCTTTTRGCATGCAATTGAAAGCCATTGACGAAGAGTATCATTATCTACTAGAGCAAGGACTGTCTGATAAAGCTGAATATGTACAGCAGTTATACGCATTCAAATCAAAGCAGTCTTTAAAGGTAATTTCTAAAATATAGTTTTGCTTGCTTTCTCTTTATATTATTTCAATTAAACACCAATTCATTTATGTATTCATTTATTTAATTATTTACCCATTTCTCCATTCATTCATTCAACAAGGTACATATTCATTCAAACATCCATTTGATCTTTTGTCACTCAGCAACCTATTCAATCAATTATCATTTAGGCATTTATGCCTTCTCCCCCCACCCACACCTCCCCCCACTCTCTTCCCCCCACCCCCTTACCCCAAATCCTTCCCTAGTTCTACTTATAAGATTCATTGATAATTAATCGGTATTATACCTGAAGGCCAATAAGACTGCAGAGCTTGCTAGCAATGAGGAGGAACCTCTAGGCAAAGCCTACCACAAGTACATGGATGCACTGGCATGCGGTGTTGATAACTACTTATACAGTCTTCATGTTGGAAGAATGCTCCTATTGCAAGGAAATTACAGTGAAGCTAGTCTTAGACTGAATATTGCTGTTGGTCTAAAACCTACCAACATTGAGTCAAGGTACAATGTTAAAAGATAGTGATTTCCTTGTATTTTTACTAAAATAAAATTGTTTCAAAGTCCAGGCTTATCAAGTTATTGATATGAAAAGACCTCCTATTTGYTTCATTAGGTTATTGCTTGGTTTGGCTTTAACTCAACAGTCATCTGGACCTGGAAAGAGGAAAGATGAGGCCATTAAGTACATATCTGAAGGGCTGGAGTACTTCCTTAGTAACATTTCCTTTGAGAATAAAAATGATGAGCTTACATCATCTAATGTTATCAAGTTATCAAGTGTCCAGTGTTTACAAGCATTTTTGGTTTTAGCTGAACAAGGTTAATAGTGATGTTATAGGATGTTATATATTACAAGTTAATAATATGCATGAGTTATAAGAACTGTGACTTCGCAAATGAAGCAAATGCAGTTCTATATAAGCATAAATTAGTTGAAATTGTGTTTCTGTTAATCTCATAACTAAGTATAGTGCACATTATAAATGTTTCTTTCATGCTGCAAAGAAAGTTATTTCATACTCATACTCTATTTTATGTTGAATTAAAATCAATATCTTTTTCCTCTTATAGTAAAGAACAATTCCTCTCTACCTCTTGGTGTAATGTCTGCTATATCCCTGTATCACTGTGCTGCTCTCCTTTCCACCAGAGTACTGTCTTACCTTGTTGCAAGAGGAGATACCTATCATTCTGTACAATGGATTCTATTTCAAGCTCACTCTTCAGTCCTTCAAATGGCTCTTGAATCTACAGACAAGACAACAACTGATGAAAAACAGATCACATGCCGCTGTGATAATCTATGTGCTTTGATCAAAAACTCATCTATTCCACCAGGAAAACAGCTACTTGAACTGCAGGAAAAAGTAAAAAGTCATAAGTTTTTACCATATAGTGACTCTAATTGTTTTTGACTCTGATTGCTGTATTAATAGTGAAAGTTTAATATTTATTAATAGGAACATCCCAGCAAAAAAAAAACCTTTTTTCTGTGCTTGTAGTTTTCTTGTGTAAATGGTCCAAACACTCACACTCACCCGCTTTGAATGTTATTTAGTGTTGTAAACAAATCCATGATCATAAAGAACGTGGTTATGAATTTTAGTGTTATAAATGTAAATTCTGCTATTGAAAAATTATACTTAAATTTAATATTTTTGAAATCTTTATTTTTAGACTTGCCAGCAAGCTGTCATTCTCCAACCAACTAACAGCAGATCACTGTACTTGCTTGGTGATGCACAACTACGTTACTATGACAATGAMCCTGAYAACAAGGGTGTCCTGAAAGAAGCAGAGGACAGCTACCGTGTTAGTATAGAACTTGAGGGTAAGTCGTCAGGAGGAAAGGTTGTGCCTGATAGAATCTGTGAACAAAAATGGTTCAAGGAAAAGCARGCAAAGMTTGAAGCAGAAAAGAAAGCTAAAGAAGCTGCTTCATCTCCGCCGAAAATTGCAGCTGGAAGTAATAAGGCTGGAGCTASCACTGGAAGRGGGGCTACCACTGGAAGAGGGGCTGCTACTAGAGGAGGTGCAGCRACAACTAGGGGTGGAGCAACAGGTGCCAGAGGACGCACTYCTGCAGCCACAGGTAATCGATCACATCACTGCATTAAATACCCTGCACTCTAGCTTTTGAAACTTTGAAGGTGCTTTCTGAAAACAAAGATTGTTGTTTGATMAAATAGGACGTGGCAGYCCAAGTCCAAAGGGTCCTACTCCAGCTAAGCCAACAACAAGAGGCAAACCATCACCAAGTAGAGGAGCATCAACTACTGCAAGAGGTGGAAGCTCTAAGCCTTCAGGTATGTGTAATGGCTTACATTTTGTTAAGTTTTAAATGCAAAAGGAATCGAATTTTCATTGTTTTTTTTTGTGTGTGTGTATTAATCTGGGTTTTTCATTACTGCTATGTTGGTCATGTGTAATGTTAGATTTCTTTAAATTATTTATTTTGTGTAGTTTCACCAACCAAGTCTCCTTCGTCACACAAAGCATGTGCCGCTGCAACATCCAAACCACAACAAGCACCACAACCCCCACAAAAGAAAGATACAAATAATAACCAATCAGAAGCCACCATAGAAACACCAACTGGTCCACCTAACAAACCTGCATTTCAGCCTAGACTAGGCCTTGCTAGAGTTCTTGTAAGAAAAGGTGCTGCTATGGAAGAGATTCAAAAACTGTATGAAGAGGTCATTACCATGGCACCTGATGTYCAYGACGCTTATATTGAACTTGCTGATTCATTGGTTAAAAATGAGCCAATGAAAKCTGTTGAAATTTACAGTAGATAYCCGTTTAAACCTGATTTAAACTTTGATGATGCATACATCCATGGAGAGATAGTAAGATTGATAATGAAGGAAGGGAAATATGATGATAGTCGYCTTGGCCCCAGTATGATAGCACTRGGGAAAATCATGGGTCTYACKGTCATTGAGAAGTATGTTGAAGCATTGGACAAGACATTCAAATACAGTAAACTACTTTGTCAGRTTTATGCTGGTGTTCATGGCAAGGATGTAGAAGATCCTGATYTGCAGCAGTTTTTCAAGTTTAAATGTTGGATTTAGAGCTCTGGATGAAGTGTTAAGATTAAGTGCTATGGCAAGTTTATGCCATAACTATCCTTTCATAACAATAGATTTTCATGAAGATAGTCAGCCTATCAAAAGTCTTTATTTCAAAGACTAATAATGAAAGACAGATTAGTACCATTGCCATGAGGTACAGTGTATTCATTGTAGGCTTTTTTCATGGCTTTTTTATGGCACTGTTCTGCGGCTTTTATCTGGTAAGGTATTGTGTTGTACTTCTAGTGTACAGAAACGACTATTCTAACTTATTGACTTAAATGTGTTGACTTCTAACTTATTAACTTGCATGAGTCGTGTGTGGTTTGTAATAAAGTAGTGTTATAACGTTCAGTGAGATTGATGTTATTTGATAATGTAAATGGCATTTAGTTGCTGTTTACACTTGTCTTTGTACAGTATTTTCATGTTTCAGCACTCTCAGAATGGCCAAGAATAATGAACAGTTTTGAAGGTATAAGTTTTTATTCTTTATTTAAATTGCATTATTAGATAAAAATATTTTATTACTATTATATGATAATATATATGAATATAATCTTGATAAATTCAGTCTGGATATACATGTATTTTAATTAGAATTACATAAAAATAATGAAAATGACTCGTTAGGTAACTTTTCACTGTTTGAGATTTCAGCACTCTTTCTCACGACTGTTCAAAGTTCATGTCAGAAACAATATTAATTCCATTTTTCCAAATTTGTTATCATAGAAACAGAATAACACTTCTTTATAAAAGTTTATTATCACGCTCTCTAATTCTTTTAGACTTTTGAAAATCTCAGCAATTTAAAAAAAACTGTCATTCGGACAATATTTCCTAAACGAATAAACTAGGATTATAAATTCCAAAAATGCTATTTGTGCTATTATTAACTTGAAGTTGACTTTGTTATTTTCTTGGATTTTGAGAAACGTTTGAACATTTTCTTGATTGACCCTTGYTGTCTTCCTTTYCCATCCAGGTCAATGGATGATCCCTCAGTTTCTTCACTTTGACTACAACTTTCGATGTCCTTCTCRCCAAAACTCATGTCACTATCATATGACATCTGGCTTTGTGTTCGTTCAGTTAGYGGTCGTGCCTGTTCAGGTTGGGTCTGTTCRSATGGTGATTTGATCTCTCTCAGTGGCTGGTGCAGACCGCTTTCTGTTGTCTCTGTGGTATCAGATTCATCGGTTTTGGATTGTGTACGCACTTCAACTGTAAGTACATGTAAAAGACAACGTTTTCTTTGTTATTACTAAAGCCTTTAGATAGTTGGTAATATATCCAAGATATCTTTCACCAGGGGCAGTGGAACTGGGGAGGGCCGGGGCCCCACAATATATATTTTTTGGGGGGGGGCGGAGGGGCAAGGGAGGTCCTGGCCCTTCCCACATAACGGCATCGGTTTTGTACATTAGAGAAAAACATTAGAGAAGAACATTAGATTGGTTACAGAAACTATTTGGTATAGATATAATATTATAAACTACCTCTTTCAGTTGTAAGAGACTGTGAYTTGGTGAGACGTTGTGGGTAGGCTTTTCGACGTTGTTGCTCATCGAAACCCTCTGGAGATGATATAGTTTCTGATTCCTGTTCAATGTTAAAGAATTGAATGATATTATTCTTTGTTAAAACATGCATTAAATCTTAGAAGAGATATTCAAGCTTTCATTTTAATGAGGGAAACATTTACAAAGAATATCAAACAAATCTTTTATCTGAGAAGAGATTTCGTTAATGGTAAAATAGATGATTAGAGTAAAAGGAACAGGACACTAACCGATGATGTAGCTAGTTCTTTAGCCACACTATGATACCTTGGRAACGACTGTTCACTCGTCACTCGACGTACATGACTGTTATTCCGTAATTCTAACTTTAATCTTGATCGATCATGTGGTACACCGTTMCCTTCCCTTTGGTTACTCGACTCAGCTGACATAGGGAARTGTAMTCCTTCGTTAGAAACTGGAGATGTGCATGACAGTCTGTCCTCTAGGGAAGTTAACGAGSCGTTATCAAAGTGAACTAAAAGTTCYTTRGTGTTTTTAAGCTCTTCTTGCGTTTCTTCTAACTCAGATAAAAGTTTTTTGTTCTCTGCTTCTAACTTCACTAATTGTTTCATATTTTTATAACTTTCAGCTTTTACCATYCCCAAATCGATTTTCAAACGCTTGTTCTCAGCTTTTGCACTCGATAAATTCCTATCAAGTTTAGATTTCTCGCGTTCAAGATGATTGACTTCTTCCTTTGCCGCAGTAATTTGAACTTCTAATCTCATTTTATCGTCTGTTAGCGCTTCTATTTCTCTTTCAGCCTTCTTTGTTATCATTGAACGCTCACATAGTTTTTGTTTTAAGGTATTATTCTTTCCTGCAAGTTTTTGRAGCTGCGACTGATAGTCAGAATTTCTGTGTTTCAAKATAGTCATCTCATTTTCCAGTATTGTGTTGGTACATTTAATTTCAGCAAGCTCTCTGTGTATTTTACTCAGTCCACGATGTCCTCTAGCCGTTACTCGTCCTGCTCGTAAGTCTTCAGCTGACACCCAGTCTGATGAGAAACTGATGTCTTCAAAGTCAGTTGCTGAAGCAAACGAGCTGTCCGTACAGACATCAACACTAACGCTACCGTACACTGACTCGGTACTAAGGATATCATTGGTATCTTTCATATCATTACGTGTWGTGGACTCTTTWCGTACTGGTGASTCACACTCGCAAGTAGATTTAAGGCACTGTCTACAAAGAGTGTTCCCTCCTTTACTTCCSCCATATCCYGATTCACTCTCAGGTGTTRCTRCGATAAACTCTCCATTTGTAGAGCTTACATGCCTTTGAATACCCACGTGTTCTTTGCTGTTGGAATTTGGTATTCTYTCTTGCCCTTCTTTGSATGATACGTCGGGACTTGATGCAGATARTGGCTTGGATTCAGTGTTYAGTGAMGTTTGGTGAGGGTATCGCTTCATACTTGATTCAAGTGGTAATTGCAARTGATCTTTATTTGACAGGCTTTGTTCCGTGGTACTTCTGGTGGAGAACCCTTGTTCTAMACTGTGTGATTGATCGTGGWATCCTGGAGACGAGACATTTATGATTGGRGTCTCRTCATTTCCTTTRTTTCCYTTTTTCTTCATTCCATTAAGACTTGCCTTCTCTATGCTTTGCTCTGTTTCAAATGCCTYAGGAGAGTSCTGAGTACTGCCATMAGCGATCTCTGATATATTGCGTTTCTTTAACTTACGATTTTCTTCTCTTAAACCTGACACTTCCTTCAATARATTAGAATTCTCGTCCACAACCACTGAAAGGACTTCCTCAAGTTTCTTGCACCTTGCAGCAACTTCATCAATCTTCTCTTTTTCTAGGCTTTCAATCTCACGCGTAGATWCYTTTAGTTTCTGGAGTTCTAYTTCCAAGGCCTGTTTCACGTCATTAGCATCAGAAAGTTGAATTTCTAACTGTGCATTTTTAGTTTTCATTTCATTTAGTAGGTCATCAATACATTTCTTATCGTTTTGCAGTGTTTCTAACTGGTTTTT